AAAAAAAATAGACTCTTACTCTATCTTCAGAGAGTTTTTCTCTGACCCTCCAGTGGGCTACATAGTTATGTGAGCTCACAGAACCATGTCAGAGAACTCATTACAGATATGACATTATCGTGACAATATGATCAACATTTGTTCTTCTCTCTGTGACTTGCACTGACCCATACGGTGGCCACTGGCTACTTGTGGCTACTGAGCCCTTGGATATGGCAAGTGCAATTGACAAACTAGTTTTTATTTAATTTTCATTAAATTTCCTACAGTTTTACGTGCAAAAACTGATCCTGTGTTACATCCCAGGCTGCCACTAACACTGAACTTCTGGAAGCAGAAGGAAACTATGGGGTTGACATAAGTTGTTTCCACTGGGAGTCAAAATCTTTTACCCTTCCAAAATAAATGTTAATGAGAATAATATCCTCTTTTACTATTAGAAAAAAAGATTCTAGACTTAGTTATTGGACAGCTTTTAAATATGCTTGGAACCACTTGGATAGGTCAATCTACTTTTCCAACCGCTAATTTTATGAAATCTAAGCGCAAAATCAAATATTTATTGTTTTCCCAAATGAAATATTTCTGATAAAAATTTCATATCTGAATTGAGATGTGCTCTAGGTGTTAAACACACACCAGATCTTGAAACTTGGTATGGAAAGAAAGCATATTTCATTAATAATTTTTATGTTGATTACACATTGAAATGATAATATTTGAATATACTGGGATAAAGTGTATTATTAAAGTCAAGATCACCAGGGGCGCCTGGCTGGCTCAGTCAGTGGAGCATGTGACTCTTGATCTCAGGGTTGTGGGTTCGAGCCCCACTTTGGGAGTAGAGATAACTTGGGGCACCTGGGTAGCTCAGTTGGGTGAGCATCCGACTCTTGATCTCAGCGCAGGTCACGATCTCACGGGTCGTGAGTTCAAGGCTCTTGTTGGGCTCTGCACTGGCAGTGGATAGCCTGCTTGGGGTTCTCTCTCTCCCTCTCTCTCTGTCCCCCACCTCCTGCTTGCACACTCTATAAGTAAGTAAGTAAGTAAGTAAATAAAATCTTTAAAGTTAATGTCACCAGTGCCTGGGTGGCTCAGTCGGTTAAGTGCCCGACTTCGGCTCAGATCATGATCTCGTGGGTCCTGAGTTTGAGCCTCACCTCGGGCTCTGTGCTGACAGCTCGGAGCCTGCTTTGGATTCTGTCTGTCTCTCTGCCCCTCCCCTGCTCAAACTCTCTCTCTTTCTCTCTCTCTCTCTCAAATATAAAGTAAAACATAAAAATAAAATAAAAATCTTGAAAGTAATTGCCCACAGAGCCATGCAGAATAAAGACTACATTTCCCAGCCTCCCTTGCAGCCAGCCAAGACCACATGATCAAGACCTGGCCAATGGGATGCTAGAAGGCTCCAAAAGGAAGGGGGTGTGCCCATTTCCTCCACCCTGTTTCTTTCCTCCTTCTCCCTATTACCTTTTCACATGATAGGGACCATCATGACCCTTGAAGACTAACAACATCACAGAGAGGCCAGAACAAGACAGCCGGAGCCGAATACCTGACACTAAGAAGCTGCTGTTTCAGCCTCAAAATGCTTATGCTGGACGCCACATGAGTGAGAAACATCCTCTATTTTATTTCAGCCACTGTTATCTTGAGTCTCTGTGTCCAGTTGGCCTACTCATACAACCCCCACCAGCCTCCAGTGTTCGCTGGACTTCCCCAAATCAAGCTGGGACGTAACTGACCTGAGGAAATGGGTCAGCGGATGCCAGCAACACGTTTTCTGGTTTCAAATCACAGTGGACGATGTTCTTGAAGTGAAGGTGTCTCAAGGCCACCAGGATCTGAGGGGAGGAGATGGGGCCCGTAAGGAACATAGAAAGGTCCCTGCCTCAGATTCTGACTTCAGCGGCCAGCCCTCCAAACCCCATCCATGCCTCTCTCTGCACCCCTGAAGATGTCTCCCCAGGACGGGGGGCAGGGGGCATTGGAGCTCCAAATGAGAATCTCAGAATCCCAAAACCATTACATCCGAGCTAGGAGTTGGATAATTCTAGAAAGGCTCAGCCGGAGCAGTGGGTTCAGGAACATCCTGAGATCCTCTGGCATGTGATAAGCTCCTGACAAAAAAGAACTATTAATGAGGCTCCTGGCTGGCTCAGCCAGTAGAGCACATGACTTGCGATCTCTGAGGTCATGAGCTCAGGCCTTCCTTTGGGCCTGGAGTTTACTTATAAAAGGTGTGTGTGGGGGGGATGCTATTAATAAAGTAGCAGCCTTGAAGGAAGTACTATTATGTGACCCCATTTTTTAAAAAGTATTTTTCATCCACTATATATTATATATAATATATTATATATACTAT